CCACCCCAGGATGCATAGCTGGATTCTGGTGACATGTTTACACTGGCTCTTGAGAAGTGATGTAAGATGATAGAGTTTGGAGATGATTATGTCAGTGACTATTTGAGTCTGTTTTTTTTGTTTTTTTGTTTTTTTTTTTTTAAATAGAGGAATTTCACTAGTTCAGACTGTCCTTGAACTCACAGCGATCCTCCTGTCTCAGCCTCCTGAGTGTTGGCGCTACAGGTGCCCGCTGTTTGTTTTATTTTTGGGCTGTCTGTATTTGTTTTATAAAGCCCTGTTAATGGGCCTACGATATTTAACAAAGAGTTATTGCCTAATAAATCCATGCATTGTACACATGAAAAGAGGAGCCTGAAAAATATTAGAACATAAGTAGCATTTTAAAGAGAACAAATTGGACTAGGGGAGTAGTTCTGCCACAGAGCACATTTTTTTCTTTTGGGTACCATACCAGGAATTGAACTGAGAACCTTGCTCTTACTAGGCAGGTACTTGTGCCACTGAGCTATAGCGTAGGCCCAAATACAGCATATGCTTAAAATGCACAAGATCCTAGGTTTGATCCTCAGCAGCACAAACAACAACAGCAACAACAACAATAACAAAATTGAAACAGAAGGAAAAAAAAAAAAAGGAAAAAAATTGAATTAAAATCACTACAATACCCGCCCCCCTTTTTGCCCTTTTGAGACAGGGTTCATTATGTAGTTTAGGCAGGCCTTGGACTCACTTTGTAGCCCAGGCTGGCTTGAACTCACAGCAACTCTCCTGCCTCAGCCTCCCAAGTGCTGGGATTACAGGACTGCTCCACCACGCCCTGCTTTATTAACCCCAATTGTCAATATTTTCTTCAATGATTTTGGGGATGGAACTCAGGGCCTTGCAGATGACAGGCCCAGGCATCACCGCTGAGCTGTTGGACAGTCCCAATTATGAAGATTGACTTTTGTCTTTTAAAATGTTCCAGGAATTAAATGGAAAATTATAGATGAGTGTTGGAACTTGAATATATTCAATGGCTGCCCGTGCGGACTTTCATACGTTTGCAATGTGTGCTTCCTCAATAGACTTTGTCCTCTGGGCAGGATGATTCCCTGGCTTCTCCACCACTACTGACTTCCAGAACATCAGAGAAGGAGACAAGAGAGATTCTCCATGCCCTCGAGGAAATTCAAGAAAAATTACGAGGAAACGTCTCCTGGAAAGAAGCCCCTGCAAAGCAAACACAGGATGAGCCGATTTACTTAAGGAGAAGTAAGAGTGGGAGTTGAATGGAAAGGGTGCTCCTCTTCGGAGGCAGGATCCCAGAGCCCTGCTCCTTCACTGCTGGCAGTGGTGCTGTAAATCAAGTAGGAGTGGGCCGAGGTTTGTGTGTGGCTGGTTCAGTTGGGTTTTGCTGTTGTGGTTGTTGTATTTTCTGGGAATCAAACTCAGGACCTTGTACTTGCCAGGAAGCTGCTGTACCACTGAGCTGTCTCCCTGGCCCCTTGTTTTATTTTTTGAGACAGGGTCTTGCTATGTACTTTGGGCTGGCCTTGAGCTCACTAGGTAGCTCAGGCTAAACTTGAACTCCCTGTGATTCTCCTGCCTTAGCCTGCCTAGTGCTGGAATTATAGGTGTGAGACACTACGCTCAGCCTGGCTGTTTTCTTTCTTTTTTTAATTTTTAAATGTTTCAGGGTCTCACTAGACAGTTTGGACTCATTATCCTCCTGCTTTCAGCCTCCCCAGTGCTGGGATTACAGGCATGCGCCACTATACCAGGACTCTGGCTGGCTCAGCTCGCCCTGTGGGCAGGGCTGGCAAGGCATGTGGTGCCAAGGATTGAACCATGGTCCCTGCGCTTAGCCAACCTTGCCTAAGGAGGCGCTGTAGTCTCCTGAACAATCTTGCCAACCCTCAGCCTGGCTATTTAAAAACAAAACAAGGGCCAGGGAGATAGTCCAGCAATACAAGCACCTGCCTGGTAAGCGCAAGGTCCAGAGTTTGATCTCTATACTGCCAAAAACAAAAATAAAAACAAGATGGGCATGGCGGCACACACCTGTAATCTCAGCACTCTGGAGGCTGGGGCAGGAGGATTGTTGGGAGTTGGAGACCACCCTGGGCTACAAAATGAGCTCAAGGCCAGCCTGAACTGCATAGGGAGACCCTGCCTCAGAAGGACAAAAAGAAAAAGAAGTTGTAGCTCATTTTCTTATTGTATTGAAAACTCCAAATTGTTTAGACACTACATACTGTAAAGAAACTTCTCAATAACTAAGTTTATGTAACAAATATTTATGTATAATCATCTGCTTACTTAAACACCATTGTTTTCTTCTACATGACATATACTTTTTATAAAACCTGTTATAAATCCTGGGTAAGCAATCTTGTTTAGACCTAGAGAGACTAATTTATTATGAAATTTCATCTCTCCTTAATAGTTGCCAGTATTTTAAAAGTTTCTTAGCATCTTGAATGCATGTTACGTATAATTTTTTCTCAGTATCTTTAAAATAGGAAACAGTCACATGTAGATTATCTCCTCCATCAAAAGAGACAAAAAGTATTAGTATTGTTTAAAAAGTAAGGTATTGGGGGCAGGGACAAAAAAAAAAAAAGTAAGGGATTGAAGGTGGGTATGGTAGTGTATGCTTGTAATCCCAGAAGTTGGGAGGCTGAGACAGGAGGATCAACAAGTTTGAGGTAAGCTTGGGCTACATAGTGAAACCCTATCTAAAAAAAAGAAAGG